CTTATTTATTTATTTATTTATCTGTAAGTTCACAATGGTGAAAAAGATTTTATTTTTCAGGCTTACGTTTGGATATCAAGGAAATTTCCAGCATATATCACTGATGACGAATGGTTTAGAATCCTGGCTCTTGATAGCCTTTTGTCCCGAGTTGAGTACTTCGAATTTTTGGCAGATAACAAGGCTAAAAGCTACGAAGAAGTAAGTGCAGGCAGAAAATTTGTCTTTAAACCATGCAAATTTCCATTCCATTATATCGTAAATGTTATGTATTCTTCTTTAACAGCTTTTATCAGTAGTTTTTTAAAATATTGCAACCGACTTTTAGTGTTGTTTTACACTGCAATGTTGAGAGGATTCTACGAATTAATATTCCCCAGTCATAAATGATTTGTTGTAGGAAAAATCTCGGGAACCCTTTCCGTACGAAAATGATTTTGAAAACTCCTTTGTGCTGAATCCCTATGGTGTTATCAAACGTAATATTTACTTTTTTTTGGGAAGATTTAGTGTAATCGATCCTAATGCATTGTGTTAAAACATTTTTCGCCGTCTGCCACGCCTCTGAAACAGTTTAGAATTACTAAGCGATACTTTAACACAAAAGTGTGAACAATCGAATGTTAGTGGTGGCCTCCGCTTATTAAAATTCTAATGTACTGAAAATTTGTGATTTTCGCTCACAAAAATTTTTAAAAAAACTTCTATTTGCTGACCTCCTTGACATTTTTCAAAAAATAAAACGAAGTTTCTGAGAAGGGGATAACAACTTTGAGGAAGTAGGAACCTAATACATCGCGCAAACTTACAGTTATTATCGCATTTTTTACTGTTTTTATCACCTTGCTGTAAACTTTGTTCCACGGAAGTCGACCTTTGTAAACGATAAAACTTGTTTGATGATTTTGAAGCTTAATGTGTTACGGTTTTTGAAAACAATTTTTCGAACACTATTAGCAGTTAGTGCAACTGCCGTGAGTTTTTGGAAATTCTGATAAGGTGTAAATTTGTTTCCAGAAGACTTTTCTAGCTTTCAGCTATATTTTTTTTCCATTTTTGTATCTTTATAAACTTTAGATTATGATTTTGACAGAATCTCCCCCGCTTTTTGAAAATGAGTTGTAAGTTTCAAAAAAAAAAAAATTTGTAGAGATCATAAAGTTTGTTGACGCCAGCAAATGCACTTTATTGCAGATAAGTATGGATCGAGAGCAACTGCAAAAATTCCACTGACTGCCTAAATATCTTCAGCTTACCTAGTAAAATGAGCTTCACGGCTGCTTATATTACGCTTTTAGGCATTCGCTTACTGTACGGAAGCCGCATTTTGAAAGAAATAAAGTTGCGTGAAAAGCCTCAGATTATAATTGACTTACAGTGCTGTAATAATTCCCTTACTCAGAAGGAAATATCAAAAATTTCCTTGCATTTGGAGAAGGCACTGACAGTAAGCTTTTTCCTTCCACTTTAAAACACTTGTGCTTCATGATACTGCTCACCTTTTATTAGCGGAACCATTTAGTTCCTGTAATATAGTTTCGAAATATAAAAAAAAAATATCCTGTAATATAGTTGTTTCGGAAAAAATGCTGGCTTTAGAATTTGCTATTCGCTGGCTTATACAGTAATACCAATTTCCTCAATGTCATCGTAGCCATAGAACTGATTAAAGGTTGAACAGCGTTGCTGAGACTTACAGTTAGTATCTTCACAAGGTTTCTTGAAGAAAGGCTTCTTTTTTTTTGATGAATTTTAACTGATGAATTTCTTCCTTGGTGTACAAGTGAAGGAAATAACATGAGTATCTTGTTGTGTAGTAGTAATCACCAATTTACAATTTTTTAAGCAGTTAAGTTAACTGTATGATTACAGAAAAATGTTAAACGGAAAGAACCTTTTTTAATAAAATTTGCCAATTTCAACCAAGACGAAGAAAAGCTTCTAAAGATTTTTGAGTAAGTGAATTTATCTGCTTCAGTACTAAAGTAAATATGTCATTAATTGTGTAATACCGACAGTCATGTAGAGTTTTTCTGTTATAACCCAAATTTTCTAGAATAAAAGTACCTTTGCTCTTTTCATACTTTTCTAATTGCAGAATCTGTTGTTTTAATTCATCTTCACCATTTCATAATTGTTCCAGACAGATTCGTATGTACAATATGTTTTACCAACGCTCGTGGTTGCTGCCTTTTGTCAGCAGAAAAACTGTCCGCTCTTTGAGCCTACATGAAAAGGATATTGTGTATATATGCGGGTATAAATAAATTTTGCCACTATTGTACAATCTAAACCGTTCCTAATTTTATTTTTCTGTTTATCGTGAACTATAGTTCAGGATTAGGTTTGATGCATATACCTTTATCCGTTTCCTTTTATCCCAAGAAATCCATGAATAAGATTATTGGGATGTTTAGCCGAGCAACTAAATTTCTGCAAGGACCTTTGGATAAAAAAGTTTATGTATTATGCGCAGCTTATGATCGGGAAAATCAGAGTGCTGTGGCGGCTAGGAATGAAGGAATTGAGGCAGTCCAGCTTCCTGTTACCAAGTATATCAAGTAAGGAAAATGAGTAATTATTCTCTTTTCTTAGAACCCATATCATTAACTTTGGTTTAAATGATAAGTATAAGGTTTTC